AGTGCTGAGTGAGTGTGCAATATTTATAGAGCCCTCAGCCTTCATGCTCACTATGGTGACGCTTGCAGAACAACTCTAGTCCTGCAAACTCCACTCATGGTGAGTGCCCCGTATGGAGGTACCATTTTAATCTTTTATACTATATTTTTACTATGCATTTTCTATGTTCAGTGTTTAAATACACAAATATTTACCATTGTGTTCCAGCCACCTACAGTATTCAGTACAATAACATGCAGTACATGTCTGTAGCCTGGGAGCAACGGGCTGTGCTGTAAGGGCAAGGTGTGTGGTCAGCTCTATATAACATCTGGGTTTCACAACAGTGAAATTGCCTAATGATGCATTTCTCAGAATGTATCTCTGTCATTGAGCAAAGCACGACTGTATATTTACATATACATATAAGTGAGAAGATATCCATGAAATGTTAATTGTGCTATGGAACAGCATGTATAGTGTTGTCCATGTTTATGTGGGCACTATCAGGGTTGAGTTCGGAAACTTTACATATATAAAACAGGTATGATACTTGGATTTTTTTCTCCCTCTGGGGTCAAGGTCTTCAATAAGAAATAAAAGAGAGGCTTGGTGTCTGTGGCTCAAGTGGCCAGGGCGCCAGCCACATACATGGGAGGTGGCGGGTTTGAGCTCAGCCTGGGCCTGCCAAACAGCAATGACAACTACAACCAAAAAATAGCCAGGCGTTGTGGCAGGGACCTGTAGTCCCAGCTACTTGGGAGGCTGAAGCAGGAGAATCACTTAAGCCCAAAAGAGTTTGAGGATGCTGTAATCTGTGACGCCACAGCACACTGTATGGAGGGCGAATTAGTGAGACTCTCTCAAAAAAAAAAAATTGAAAGAAAGAAAAGAGAGAGGGTGGGGATTATCCTCACTGTGGCCAATAATTTAGAGTAGCAAATATGTTGGTTTTGTTTTTGTTTTTAAATCTCTAAGTCCTCTTCTATGTGCTAATCAAATGTTTTGTGTGTGTGTGAGTGTGTGTGCGCGTGCAGTGAGGGCACCCTGTACTGCCCCAAGAATACCAGCTTTATGGGGACACAATATTAATGCACATGGGACAATAAGAGGACAAAGCCAGACAATATGCAATCAAGTGCCAAAACATACAAGGAAACAAAAACCACTCAATGCTACAGTCATACTAAAAACATACAGGAGTAACTTACATTTTTCTCTCTAAGTAGAATATATCCTTGTTTCTGAGGAATTTTAGACTTTAGTCAAGTGATTATAGTGGGATATAAAGAGCATTAACTGATATTAGGAAATTATATTCTAAATTTGGCTCTTCTGTACAGATGATTTTGAATAAGTCCCTTCTTCTTTCTGGGCCTATAAAGTTAGCTGATGATCTCAAAGGTCCCTCCTGGCTCCTAACAGCATGAGACTCATGAGGCTGGGGAGTGAGACTCACTCTACCATCCCTGAGGCCCATGAACCTGTCTTTTGGTATCTCCAGTGTGATAGAGCTGACTTCCCAGGAACAGGGTGGTTGGGAGCAGACTTGGCCTTCCTTGTCCCGATTCCTGATGCTCCCAAAGAAGTCTGAACATTCACACCGTGCTACTCCCAGGTGAGGCTAACAGTCACAGATGGCCAGAGGGTGTGATGTCCAGGTTCCATGGCTGCATCTGAAACAGCCTGTAGATTCTGTTGTCACATTAGACCTGTTGATCTTTTGGTGGCTAGTCCATGATTTGTTAAGGGGGCTTGAAATGTGAGGGTTCTCATAAGATGTTTTCACCCTGTGATTCTGGTTCTCTTCTTGAATTCCAACTTACCCATCACCCCTTATTTTCAAGGAGTCCTGAGGAGGCCCTGCTCACCCAGTCGGGTCAAGGGCGCTGAGCTTTCCTGACTGCTGATCCTGCCTCTGGCCAGCAGAGGGCACTCTTGCAATGCGGAGACCTGCGGCTCTCTGTGGTGGGGCCCGGTTGCTGTCTGTGCCACATCTGGATTTATTTATTTATTTATTTTTGGTAGAGACAGAGTCTCACTTTTTTGCCCTCGGTAAAGTGCAGCAGAGTCGCTTCAGCAACCTCCAACTCCTGGGCTTAGGCGATTCTTCTGCCTCAGCCTCCCAAGTAGCTGGGACTACAGGCGCCCGCCACAACGCCCGGCTATTTTTGTTGCAGTTTGGCCGGGGCTGGGTTTGAACCCGCCACCCTCGGTATATGGGCCGGTGCCCTACTCACTGAGCCACAGGCGCCTCCCCACATCTGGATTTATTGAAGCCACTCTCTTCTTTAGTGGTTCTCCATTAGGAACTACCTCCCTCTCCCTAGAGGACATTTAACAATGTCTGGAGACATTTTTGGTTGTCCCAGTCACTACTGGGGAGGGTGCTACTGTTACCTACTGGGTAGAGGCCCAGATGCTGCTAAACATCTTGAATGCCCAGGACAGCCCCCGTAGCAAAGAACTGCAGGCAAAGAAGTCAGTAGAGCCAACGTGGAGAAAGTCAGGTCTACTTGAATCTATCGCCTAAAATGCAGGACCAGCCTGTAATCCCAGCGCTCTGAGAGGTTGAGGCAAGTGGATAGCGGGAGCTCACAGGTTCAAGACAAGCCTGAGCAAGAGTGAGACCCTGTCTCTAAAAATAAAAATAGCCAGGTGTTGTGGTGGGCACCTGTAGTCCCAGCTACTTGGGAGGCTGAGGCAAGAGAATTGTTTGAGCCCAAGAGTTTGAAGTTGCTGTGAGGTGTGATGCCACAGCACTCTACCGAGGGTGACAAAGTGAGACTCTGTCTCAAAAAAAAAATAAAAATAAATAAATACATACATAAATAAAATGCAGGACATACTACCTGGAAGTCTAAGTCCTCTGTGGTGGAACTTTTAATCAGGGTTCACCTATTCCAAAGAAAAATTTTAGAATGATGACCTCAAAGCATTTCCCATTGCTTGAAATGTGAGGTTACAGCCACCACAAACCACTGAAGAGGAGGTAGGGTCAGGCAGAAGGCCCATGAGGGTTCCCACTGTGGAGAAATACCCTGTCCCTGGGGCTGGTGTCTCTGAACAGGGCCTAGGCCCCATGACAGCACCGTCTAGTTCCTGTGCTGGGGCAGAGGACACTAGTTCTTTGTGTTCCAGAGCTGGGCAGGGTGATGGGAAAAGCTCCTAGGACTTCGTCCTTGCTGCACAGGGATGGGCCTGTGGCTTTGGGGCAGGTGAGAAGCAGCTTTCATGTAGCCCTGAGAACTCCTGGGAGAGAGGCTCTGTGGTCCCCTTTTTTGGCTCTGGGTTGAGGGAGGCAGACGAAGATGAAGAACTCTCACAGACCCTTTGTCCTGGCCTAGATCCAGCTGGGAGGCCCAGGGCCTGGGTTCCTTGCCCATCTCACCCTCCCTGTGGAGTGAGATCCCCTCTTGGCCCACCCTGGGTCTCCTTTCCCATTGCCATTATGTGGCACTGCACCTGCTATGGGGAAGGACTTGGAGGCTGCAGAAAGTAAACACCTGGGAGTCCCAGAGAGGGGGAGGCATATTACTCCCTGGACTGAGGGACAGGGACAAACAATGGGCAAAGGGGCCCTCTATGCCTCCTTGGCTCATGGTCTGTGTCACAGAAAGGAAGGGGAGGCAAATTCTGAGTGTGGAATTGGACCTAGAGATAGGAGAGCAATGTGGATCAATCGCCTTGGCTCCTGGAGTGTCCCTCTCAGTTGGCATGTCCTGGCTGAGCAAAGACCCTCTCTCTCACATGCTCTCCAGTGCCGAGCTCCCTGATGCCTCAGGTCTGCTCTGCCAATGCCCTCCATCCTCTGCTCTCACCACAGCCCTTGTACTCCAAAGTCCTCTGTAGGGATCTGAGGGTCATTCTTTAAAGCCCCTGCTCTACTCTGAAGATCCTGCTTTGAGGTTGGTTTTCTGTGTTGTCCAGAGAGCCCCTCCTGCCCCTACTTCATTCAGCTTCTTTCTCTGGAGAGGAGATGGTGGCAGGAGAAGGAGACAGGCTAGTTGATGTCCAACTCCACTGCAGGCCTCAGAGTCCCCCCCCCCAAAGTCCCCCCCACCCTACCCTCTTCCCGTCACATTGATCAGAACACAGGGGAACCAGGGAGGAGGCTGGGGCAATGTGTAAGGGCATTTTATTCATGGTTTCAGAGTATTACAGAGCTAAGGAGGCCAGGGCCTCCCTACCCCACCTTCCTGGGTCTTAGGGAAATGCAGACAGAAGGAAGGACCTCCAGGAGACAAGGGTTTCCAGGGATCTGAGATCAGTGGGATGGAAGAGAAGTGGATGGAGTGCTGGGAAGGGGACCAGAGACCTTACCAGGGTGAGGGAGATGAGCCCCAGAGAAGGACTCACCTGAGGGACAAAACAGCCCCAGCCCCTCCCCAGCCTTGACTCTTAGTTTCCCTTCAAGTGAGCAGGCATGGGGCATGTCAAATGACAGAGACCTTGTTTTCATCTCCCTCAAGAAAAGTGGAGATTGGCTCGGTGCCTGTGGCTCAAGTGGCTAAGTGCCAGCCACATACACCTAAGGTAGCGGGTTCGAATCCAGCCCAGGCCCGCCAAACAACAATGATGGCTGCAACCAAAAAAAAAAAA